CTTGTGTGGAACTCTGCGCTTCCTGGACTTGGGTGACTTTCCTTTCCCAAGTTGGGGAAGTTTTTGGTTATTATCTTTCTAAACTCAGGTCCTTTCTCTCTTCTTCTGGGACCCCTATATTGCAATATTAGTGTGCTTCGTGTTGTCCCAGAGTTCTCTTAAACTAATCTCACTTCTTTTCATTCTTTTTTTCTGTTTTGCAGTAGTGATTCCCACTAATCTGTCTTCTATCTCATTGATCTGTTCTTCCTCATTAGTATATTGGTTCCTTCTAGTGTGTTAACTCATTTCAGTGATTTTATTCTTCAACTCTGGGTATTTATATTTTTCAACTCTTTGCTAAAAACTTCTCTATTTGCATCTATACTCCTCTTGAGTTCTCTGACCATCTTCACCATCATTACTTTAAACTGTTTCTCAGATAAATTACCTATCTCCTCATCACTTATTTCTTCTGGGATTTTATCTTGTGCCTTGGCCTGAGATAGTCTTCTGCTGCCTCATATTGCCTATATTTCTGTTTGTATTTTTAGATAGGTTAGTTATGTTTCTCCATCTTGGAGAGGTGGCCCTTATGGAGACATCCTATGCGTCCCAGCAGTGCACTCCTCTCTTGTCACCCAAGGTCCAGGGTCCAGCCTGTCCCAGTGTAGAGTCTGGCCTGTGTTTGTGGATTCCTTCCACAGGCTTTGGGATTGTTTCTTTCTTATTTCTAGTATCTGCCCCTGGTGGATGAGGCTGGACTAGAGGCTATGTAGGTTTCCTGGCAGGAGGAGCCAGTGCCTGCCCACTGCTGGGTGAAACTTGGTCCTGGACCTCTGGTGGGTGGGGCTGTGTCAGAGGCCTTTGTGACTTAGGAAGTCTGCTGATGGGTGTGGCTGTGTTCCCACCCTGTATGTTATTTGGCTTGAGGCTTCTCTACAGGCTGTTGGGTGGGGCTAGGTCTTGATGCTAATGATCCAATCAAGATGTCAGCCTCCAAAGCTCATGTAGATTAACACTCCCAGAATGTCCACCACCAGCTTTTATGTCCCTTAGGTGAGCTACAGCCATCCCCTATGTCCCCAGGAGACCTTCCAAAACCAGCAGGCAGGTCTGGCCCAGGTTCCTATGAAATCACCTCTGCCTTTGGACCTGGCACACTCGAGATTCTGTGTATGCTTCCCAAGAGAGTGAAGTCTCTGTTTCCCCCAGTCCCATGGGGCTCCTGGAGCTAAGCTCCACTGGCCTTCAAAACCAGATGTCCTGGGGTCTCCTCCTCCCAATGCCAGAACTCCTGCCTGGGGAGCCTGATGTGGGGCTTAGAACTCTCACTCCTGTGGAAGTGCCTCTGTGACTTAAATTATTCTTCAGCTGTGGGTCTCCCGCCCTGGGGGTATAGGGCTTGATTATATCGCGAGCACACCCATCCTACTGTCCTGCTGTGGTTCCCTCTTTATGTTTCCAGTTGCAGAAAGTCTTTTTTGCTAGGTTCCAGTCTTTTTTTGATGATTCTTTAGCAGTCAGTTGTGGTTTCCTTGTAGTCACAAGAGGTGAGCTCATGATCCTACCACTTGGTCATCTCTGCTCTCCCTCATCCATTAAAATTTGATCATGAGATTACAGCATTTCAGTCACATCTTTGGGCTCACTTCTGATTCTAGTTCTCAGTTTACTGTTTCCATCACATCTTTAGATACTCCACTGAAGTCTTAAACCCCTCAATCTCATCCGTGATGGTTGGAATTAACTTCTTCCACTTCTGTGTATTTTTACTTTTTCCAGTGAATCACAAATGTTCTGAATGGCATCTAGAATGATTAATTCTTTCCAGAAGTTTTTCAGTTTACCTCGATCCATCAGAGGAGTTACCATCTATGGTAGCTATAGCCTTATGAAATGTATTTCTTAAATAATAGGACTTAAAAGTTGAAATTACTCTTTGATCCATGGGCTGCAGAATGGATGTCATCTTAGGCATGAAAACATTAATCTCGTTATGCGTTTCCATCAGAGCTCTTGAGTGACCAAGGTGCATAGTCAATGAGCATTTTGAAAGGACTTTTTCTGAGCGGTAGGTCTCAATAGTTAGCTCTAAATATTCAGTAAGCCATGTTGTAAACAAATGTACTGTCATTCAGGCTTTGTCGTTCCATTCATAGAGCACAGGCAGAGTAGATGAAGCTTAATGTTTAAGGGTCCTATGGTTTTCAGAATGGTAAACAAGCACTGGCTTCAATCTTAATTTACCAGCTGCATTAATCCCTAGCAAGAGAGTCAGCCTGTACTTTGAAGTTTGATGGCAGGCATTGACTTTTCTCTAGCATGAAAGTCCTAGATGACATCTTCCAATATAAGGCTGTTTCATCTACAATGAAAAATCTGTTGTCTAGTGTAACCTCCTTCATTAATTATCTTAGCTAGATCTTCTGGATAACTTGTTGCAGCTTCTACGTCAGCACATGCTGCTTCACCTTGCACTCTTACATTATGGGGACAGCTTTTTTCTCCTAAACCTCATTGAACTAACCTCTTCTCTTAGCTTCAGACTTTTATTCTGCAGCTCCTTCACCTCTCAGCCTTCATGGAATTAAGAAGGGTTAGAGTCTTGCTCTGGGTTAGGCTTTGGCTTAAGGGAATGTTATGGCTGGTTTGATCTTCTATTCATATAGAAGATCTCCATGTCAGCCATAAGGCTGTTTCATTTTCTTACCAGTCGTGTATTCACTGGAGTAGTACCTTTAATTTCCTTCAAGCACGTTCCCTTTGCATTCACAGGTTGGCTAACTGTTGGTGCAAGAGGCTGAGCTTTTAGCCTGTCTTGGCTTTTGGCATGCCTTCTTCCCTGAGCTTAATTGCTTCTACCTTTTGATTTAAAGTGAGAGACATGTGACTTCTTTCACTTAAACACTTAAGAGTCTATTCAGAGTTGTTAATTGGCCTAATTTCAATATTGTTGTGTCTCAAGGAATAGGGAGACCAGAGCAGAGAGAGAGATACAGGGAATGACTGGTTGGTGGAGCAGTCAGAATACACACAACATTTATTAAATTTATTGTTTTATATGGGTGAGGTTTCTGGCACCCCAAAACAATTACAGTAGTAACATTAAAGATCACTGATTGCAGATAACCATAATAAATATAATAAAATATAATAATAATGAGAAAGTTTGATATGTGAGAATTACCAAAATGTGACATACAGACAAAAAGTGAGCAAATGCTGTTTTAAAAATGGTGCTGACGGACTTGCTTGATATAGGCTTGCTACAAACCTTCAGTTTGTAAAAAAATACAGTATCTGTACAGATACAGAAGCTCAGTAAAACAAGGTATACTTGCTTAGGTCCCCAGAGGAAGCAAGAACAGCTTATGGAGTAGGCATCTCTTTAAAGAATTATTGATGTCAGAGTCTATCCATTTAAAGCTGAA